CTGCAGGAAAAAAAAAAAAAAGCTAAAGTACAAAACAATTTATGTAGGAAAGATACTCTTTTCTTTTCTTTTCTTTTCTTTTTTTTTTTTTTTTTTGCAGTTTTTGGCCAGGGCTGGGTTTGAACCCACGACCTCCAGCATATGGGGGCCAGTGCCCTACCCCTTTGAGCCATAGGCGCCACCCCTGGAAAGATACTCTTTTCAATAAATGGTGCTGGAGTACTTGCATATCCATAGGCAAAAAACAAAAACAAACAAACAAAAATAAAACCACAGCAAAACTAAAACACCATGTTGGTTTAAACCTTATACCTTATGTGAACTCAATATGGGCCATGAATTTAAATGTAAAATGTAAATCTATAAAACATTAAAAAAAAAAAATAAGAGGCCAGATGCAGTGGCTCACGCCTGTAATCCTAGCATTCTGGAAGGTCGAGGCGGGTGGATAGCTTGAGCTCATGAGTTTAAGACCAGCCTGAGCAAAAAATTGAGACCTTATCTCTACTAAAAATGAAAAACTGAGGCAAGAAGATCACTTGAGTCTGAGTTGGAGGTTGCTGTGAGCTATGAAGCCACAGCACTCTACCCAGGGCAACAGCTTGAGACTCTGTCTCAAAACAAACAAACAAACAAATAACATAAAAAAAACAAGAAAAAATATTTGGGATCTCAGGTGATGAAAAATGTTAAACTTTTTTTTTTTTTTTTTATCAAAAACACAGTCTATAAAAGAAAAAAAAACTATTATTCCATCTAAGACTTGTTATGAGGATAAAAGTACAAGTTATGGTCTAGAAGAAAATATTTGCAATTCATATATTTGACAAAAGACCAAAGTTCAGGTATAAAGAATTCTCAAAATTCAACAGTTAAAAAAATACAAAACACAACTATACATTCAGAAATAGGCCCAGACACGAAAAGACATTGCACTGAAGAAGATATACAAATGGCAAACACACACGTGAAACTAGTTCCAACTTATTTGCTGTTAAGTAAATGCAAATTAAAACCACAGTGAAATGCAAACACAACTTATCAGAATGGTGACAATCCAAATGATGGCAAGCATGCAGAAAAACTCGATCACTGATACATTGCTCTTGGGAACGCATATGGTTTGCTACTCTAGAAGATGTTTGGTTGTTCCCTTAAAACTTAGCGTGCTACGGCCATCTGCCCCAGCATTGCATTTTGCTTTAAGGGCATTTATCCCTGAGAAATAAAAACTTATGTCCACACAAAAACCTATGCACAAATATTTATAGCAGCTTTATTTATGATAATCAAGAACTGAAACAATCCATTTGTTCTTTAATGAGTGAATGGTTAAACTGTGGTACATCGATACCATGGAATACATATTCAGAATCATATTCAGCAATAAAAAATTAAAAATAAATAACTTTTGACATGTGAAATAACCTGGATGAATCTCCAGCATTATGCTGAGTGTAAAAACCCGTCTCACAATATGTTGGTAGGATCACAATTATATAACATTCATGAAATGAGAAAATTACAGCAATGGAGAACAGATTAGTAGTTACCAAAGGAAAAGGACAGAAGTAGAAGGGGCTTTAATTTATTTCATGGAGCAAAAGGAGGGGTTTTATGGAAACAGCAGTGCTCTCTGCCTTGATTATATTAATGCCAGTATCCTGGTGATTGTCTTAGAGTCTACTTTGGCAAGATGTTACCATTGAAGCAAACTGGATAAAAGATACAAGAGATTCCCCCAGTATTAGTTCCTACAGCCACATGGGCATCTGTAATTATCTAAAAACAAAATACATTAATTTATAAAAACCTGTAACTAAAGAAAATCTCCTAAAATAGGACTTAACGTTGCAGTCCAGTTCAACTTACTTCATCAAATGTACGAATTATGCAAAATCTTTGAAATCTTTTGCCTTAAACAAGGAAAAAAGTGTGAATGATTTTAGTAACCATATACACTTCCATAGTTATAGTTTTATGCAAATCTGATACAGTTTTCAACAGTTTATGAATGGAAACAGTGAAAAATAGTGAAAGATAATTATTAAGCATAGCCGTGTTATTAGCTTGAAAGCTTTGGCATTCCTATCAAGGGCATTCAATGTCTATCTAAAAGAATGATTTTTAGTATTTGTTTTCAATGAAATTGCTTAACAATTTGAAACTATATTTGTGCGTCATGTCATCTCAGATAGGATCACTGATGATTATATTGTACCACTGAAATGGAAGGTATCTTTTATTTTTAATGCTACATTTTATAATTTAGCCTTATTTTCCAAATACGTTGAGTACATAATATAAAACTAAGTTAACTTTTAATGTTTTAACAAATCATGTTAAGATCATATGAAAATATAGTAATATATTATATAGAAAATATGACAATCTTCCTATTGTCCTTATATGCTCATTTTTTTCTTAAGGAAAAATAATAATTTATGAGAGAACAATCTCTGGAAATGAAAGGATGGCATTATAGGAATAAATTAAAAATAATCAAAGGAAATGTCATCAGTTTATAGGACTTCATTCATTTATTTATTTTATTTATTCACCATATACCAAGTGCAAATGTCTAGTAGCTAGACATTATGCACGATGCGTGTGTGTGTGTGTGCATGAACATAAGAAATTGATCTATGCCCTTTAAGAAACTCACAATCAAGTAGAGGTAATGTGACACAAGCATTTATATCCTCAGCAGACAGCGTTGTGTGAAGTATCTATCATATTAATGGTAATATCAAAGAATGGAGACCATTTCCAGGCAAGGTGATCACGTTAGCAAGGTTCGCATATACTGGGCCTTGATGAGCAGATAGTGAAGGTGAACAGAGAAGCACTGCAGGTCGCAGACTCTACGGAACTTTATAGAAGCAGCTTTCAGTCTTTGAGAGATAGCAGCTAGTTCACACTAACTGGCCCACTGATTGACAATTCGGAAGGAAGACAGCAAACCTGTAAATCTGTTTGAGCCCAAATTACAGAAGAATTTGTTCTATTCTACACACTTTATACTGAGACAGCAATTTGGGGTCACGGATGGTGTTAGAGGAAGTAAATGCCATGAAGTGTGTGTGAGTGTGCGTGCCCCGGCACACCCCTTAACAAAGACAAAAGCAGTCATATGAAATGCAACTACCCAAACATATCCACTCAGGCTATTTTGATGTGTTTTATTCCTTGTACTTTTCTTTATGTATAAAAGTAGGAAAACAGGAATTATCCTCTATTAAGCATTGTTTTAGGCAGATTCTATTACCTCCATTAGAAAGAAGAAAAGCTAAACTCAGAAAAGCTGGAAAAGGCAGCGTCAGACAGATTTAGAAATTTGTGCAAGGTTGTTCAATTAGGAGGAAATAAGTGCACTCTAGTGAAGGGTCTGCGCTCTGCTTTGGTCTTTATCTTTGTTATAAAGCGGAAGATCTGAACTAGACGAGCTCAGAGGCTTGGTTTCCAAAACTTCCATATCCTCCTAGTGTTGGGTCTCAGTGGTTGCTAAAATCCAGTTTAAAAAGTATTGTAAAATATTTTTGTATATTTC